TTTTCTATTATTTTTTACACATATAACACGTTAGATCACAAACATTTTAAAGTTAAGGATCTAAAAACGACTAAAAAATATCCCTTTTGATCTATCTATTTAAAAAAAAAAAAACCTTTTTTTGTCCTTTTACTTAAAAAAACTCATTTTTAATCTTTTTACTTTAAATTTTCTATTATCTAACATAATATTTATGTAAAGAAATAATAGAGGAACTAAAAAAAAGATCAAATTTTAAACTTTAGGACAAAAAATTTTTTTTTAAGTAGAGACTAAAAGGAAACTCTTTTGTTAAAATAAAAAGATTAAAAAAAAAAAAAAGACTTTAACCTTCCTTTAAATTAAACCCATTAAAATTATTTAAGAGTAATAGTTGCGCTACTCTTTAATTTAATATACTTATCAATATTTACTGATTCAATTATTAAATTTTATAAGTAAAATTTTTTTCATTTATATTCAAATTAAAAATAATAACTTCTTAATCATCTACGCTTCAATATATATGTACATTTCTGATCAACTCTAGAAAGTTTAATTAGGGAGACGTCTTATATTTCTTGCAGTCAATGACCATGTCCATTAGCTCTGTCGTCACCGTAGACTTTCGAATGAACGGAAGAGCTGCTGGTGGTGATTGACCCTGCCGGTACCGTCGACAAACTGCAGAGAAGGGAGATGAAGAGGAGAACCCGAAAGGAAGAAGAAATTTGGGAGGAAATAATCAATGAAAGGAACACAAATCAATGAGATAAGAACACTGATAAATTCCATTCCATGGGCCACAGTGAACTCCGACCGCTGAGCTGATACCGAGGAATGAACAGCGCCGGCCGGAAAATTCAGCCGAAGAAGAAAACCAATGAGTACGGTACACGAACGTGGGAGACGGAAGAAGCAAGACAAAAACGACGCCGTTCAATTGCATGGAGTTTAGCTGGCTTCGATGGGCTCTTTAGCTCAACAGATCTGTAGTCAATTTGTTTGCTGAAGCCCAAAGTTAGGTTTTGGACCTTTTGATTCAGATGAGCCCATTATGGCTACCCCACCCTTTTTTTTTTAACGTAGAGTATTTTTTTCTTATCTTTTTCATATTTTAATGAGAACTTGGATCCAAGCCTTTCCTTTAAACTCATGCCCCCAGTTTTGCATATGCGGGTCAAGTGTTATCATTTGTCCTTTAAATGGGAACATTTTAAGTTTGATGTTTGAATTTTTGGGATAGTATTTTTTGCTTTTCTCATAAAATGTTAAGATTATTTGTAAACTTGTTTAAAGAAAAAAAAAAAAACTCACATCTGCAATTTCTTCATACATTTAACAGTTTAGTTAAAGTGAAATAACCCATGCTAAGTCAAGGTTTGAGTCATTGTTTTAGAAATCAAATCGGATTAGCCAATCAGACCAGTACCCGATAAGATAAACGGGTCGGGTGGGTACTTAGAACCGATAAAAAAGTTCAACCATTTAAAACCAATAGAACTGTTTGAACTAATGCAAACCACTAAATCATTCAACTATGGTTTAGTGACTAATATATTAGTTGCTGAATGTGGTCTTTTTTGTAGTGCTCACCAACTACTTAAATATTTGCACTTGGCCTATGAGCCATTAGTGCTTCTCCGGCTAGCTCATTTCCCCTTTCTTCCTATAATTGCTCTTGTTCAAAAAAAAAATTTTTTGGTACAATAAGTCATGTGTTTTATAATTTAAATTATAAAATAAAATTTTTTTGATAAGAGATAATCGTTAATATTAAGGAAGTAAATCCATATTTAATTATTTAGTCATACTGTCTAAATTATATAATACTTTTAACAATTTACACCCTTTATTTTAATTTGGGTTTTACATTTTTTTATTGGCACTAAAAAAATGGTATATCATCCTATATTTTTCATCATAACTTTCTCTATAACTTCATTAATAAAATATATCTTTTCATCATCTCTTATTTAAAAGAAGGATAGATTTGAATTCTATAACTCTCAATATTTTTTTTGAACAATAGTAAAGTAATATATATGTTATGAATTAATTCATTGTGGATCTTTTACCTTCTTCATATTCTCTTCTCCTTATTTTCCATGTTATTTACACACCAAGTAATGATGTAACTTCCACTATCTCTATGCAATTATAATGGTGATTAACACTCCATAACGCCATGCATTTAGATGGTGATAATGGGATTTCTTGCAACCCCTTCATTAGTAGGACATTAATTCTTGTAACCTCACATTTAGTGGGTGTTTATTCCTTGTAACTCCCACCCCTATTGGCCCTATATATGGGGCTTGTACTCTTGCAAATGTATAAAAGAGGAAAATATATGAAGATGTATGAAGAAGAAAGAAATAGAAATATAATATATCTTTACATTGCCTCACTTTGTCTATCTAATTTTTTCCTCTTTTTCTAATTGATTTTTTCTTTATTTTATAACACGTTATCAATACAACTTGCCTCTATATGAATTACTATTCATGAATCCAATTTGAGGTGATGAACCAATTGAGGTAAAGTTTTTGAGCTAAGATTCTGAGACAATCTAGTCTTTCAATTTCTTGTTTTCTAATTCGAATATTCTATGATGCTATAACTATATTCTTGTTTATATGCACTTTTCAAAAAAAATTTTGAGTTCATTGCCTTTTATAGATTGGGCTCTAACTATGTCATGAACTCTTGATGTGAAAATTCATTTCCCTTTAAGGAATCTTGAAGATTCAATTGTAGAAGGAAATAAAGTATCCCTTGAAGAAAGAAAATATTCTTGATGAAAGAAAAGGGCATCCTTGAAGGATTGCAATGAAATGATATTTCTTCATTATGAAGTCCAAAAAGGACTAAGAGATGAATATATGATAATGAATGATTCATTGGAATCATGGAATTGTTTGGAAGAAAGATGATCATCAAAAAGAAAAATTGCAATTCTTCCACAAACTTAGCTATGAATGGATCCATTTATTATTCGAGTATGAATCTGCAAACATTTTAAATTACCATATGCAGAGAAAAATTATTATAGATGAAAACATATAAAAAAAGATACATTCTTCTTTTCATGCCTCGATTATGCTTCAAAAGTAGCAATCTCAAGAGGTTAATTTTAACATGTATATTCAAAGTATATTCAAAGTATATACATGTCTTTGGTTGCCAACAAAATTATGAATTGATGAAAAATCATCAATCACTACCGTTGGTTTCATTCCATTCCTAAAAGACAATGTGGCATCATATTATGATCATGATTATGAATATGGTTATGAAATGAGGCTCTGCAAAAACAAAAAGATTTGCAAAATAAGTTGGCAAAGATACTATTAGAAAACAGTTTTTAATCAACAAAATATTTTGTCGATTATAGGTATAATCGACAAAAAAAATAGTTGAATAAACATGAGTCGAAAATAAGTTTAATCGATAGAAATGTTTTCTGTCGATTATACATGTCAACATGTCTATCGATTATATGTGTATAATTGACAGACATGGCTGTCGATTATGTTGGTATTTGATTTTAAAAAAAAATTAAAAAAATAATATTACATTTATTAATTAAATTATAAATATTAACCAAAATATACGTAAAATAACAATGTGCTGCAATAATATATATGTATATATATATAGATAAATCTACAAAAACTAATTGAAAAAATATAATATTTTGCAAATATTATGAAAATAATGAGAAAAAAAAAGGAAATTGAAATTATAAATCAAAAGTAGTATTAGAAATTACCTCATAATTTGATTTCAACCTTAATAACCTACAAAAGAAAAAGAAATTATTAAATCAAATAAAAATAATTGAATAATATAGAAACTAAAACAAATGAAAAAAAAAAAAAAGGAACTTAACACTTAAAAAGGTAAAAGGAATGAAGAAAGTTAAAAAGGAAAAAAAAAAAAAAAGACAATGAAAGATTTAGAAATGTAGAAGAAAAGAGAGAAGACGAAGCAAGGTAAAAGAGAAGAAGGGACATGCACATCTGTAGAGAAGGGAAGGAGGATGGGAAATTTTGGAGAAGAGGAGATAAGAAAATGTTTGAAGGTTCTATTTTTGGCTTCATATATAAAGAAAGTATAATTGACAACATTTATGTCGATTATACTCTGTTAGTTATACTTTGAATTTATTGCACCGCAAAATTCATTTTTTTTTAGCGAGGTAAGGTGGGATATTAGTATAATTGATAGTCAATAGTGGTTATCGATTATACATACATAATCGATAGAATTTCTGTCAATTATACTTACATAGTCGACAACCAAAGTGGCTGTCGATTATGTTAAAATTTCCTATATATATAAAATTAGTAATAAAAATTTAATATTACCAAATGTAAAATTATTTTTAACTAATATTATACATATATATACTTTGATTAAATTATCAATTCTAATACTAAATATTTATAGTTAACTTAGTTATTATATATACATAAAATATAAAAATATTAATTAAAAATAATCTTACATTTGATAGTATTAAATTTTTATTATCAAATTTATAATTTATGAAACAAATAATATATTTATAAATACTACTAGTAGAAGGTTAAATATTAATATATATATATATATATATATTAACGAATATGCTTGTATAATTAACAAAAAAAGGCTATCGATTATAGGAGTATAATCGATAGTCACTATATCTGGTATAATCAACAGAAATGACTGTCGATTATATCTGCATAATCAACAGCCAAAGTGGCTGTTGATTATATTTCTATAATCGACAAAAATGACTATCAATTATAACTGGGATAATCAACAACCACTATTGACTATCGAGTAGCTGTCGATTATATTTATATAATTGAAACTTTACTATAATCAACAGAGTTTTTGTTGATTAATCAAGCATAATTAATAGCTTTTTGGCTATCAATTATATTTTTGTCGATTATATGTTGTTTCTAGTAGCGAGAGTTTAAGAATTCTTAGATGTGACATGAATTAATATCAGTCACATATTTTTTGTCTATCCAAGCAATTTATGTGTTTGTTAGATTTGTTCTAAGCTTTACCTAATGAGAAGGGAAAAGGTAAAAAGAAAAACATATTTTCTGAAAAATAATATTATGGATATGTACTTGTGATATTTGTGATACACAATTTTAAACTTGGATATATTATATCTGTTTTGAGAATAGTGGGGAAAAGCATCTCAAATATTTGAGAAATTAAATATATATCTTAATGTGGAGATTGTGAATTAAAAGAAAAATTCTTTGAGATTAAGTCTTCTCAATAAGAATTCATTTCCAATGGGAAGATGAGATGCAAGAATGCATCTATGAATAAATATGAATTTTATAATAACATTTCTCATATGAGGAATTTATATCCCAAATTTTGAGATTCATATTAATCTCATTTAGTATCTCTCAATATGAAGGTTAATATTGATAGAGATATACTTCGAAAAAAGGCTTCCTTATTACAGTGATGAAATCAAGAATAGAAAGTTGAAATTGTGTAAAGCCTTACTATCACACAATGAAGGTATAATGGTGTCTTTGTGATAAATAAAATGCAGTATACATGCACTCCTATTATACAAAATATATAATAGTGAAATAGAAATTGACAAATTGTGTGTGCAAAAGGCTGTTCCATGATGAATTATCCATGAAAAAAAGCTTTTTCCAATTACACTTAGCTTGAAGCTAACGTGATACTTCATATCACAAACTTAATTGAAAAATTCAAAGAGCTTATATATTGTTTACTATTGAAAGCTCTTGAAAACCTTGAAATTTGTAGCTTGGAGAAGCAAAATTTTTTTAATATCTAACTAGTTGTAGCCTAGTAGATTATATTTGAATCTATTACACTTTAAGGATACAAACATATGATGATTATCATATTTAAACCATGAATGAGAAAAGTACAAAATGCCCTCTATATCACATTTCTTATGTGGCCAGAAGGCATATATTTAAAAAGCTTTCTCTTTTAAATTACATACATAAATCGAATAAGATCAAACATTAAGGCCAATCAGAAAGTTGATCCTAGAATAATTTGGGTCTAAGTAACTTGGCTATCAAGTGATTTTTCATGTGTTGCATTTCCTTCAGAACATGATTACCAAGCCTTCTACAAATACAATTGAAATATAATCTCCTTCATTGTTATATTGGATTCAAGGAGATATATAAGTCTATACTAAATTATTTGAAATATATTTTGATATATTATGGTATTAATATATGCTTGAATATAAAGGTGACAAAATAGTCCCTTAAGCAATATGAAATATTGGCAATGAGAGCATATCTAGCTTGATCATCCCAAGAAAGCTAGGAGTTTATATGGGTTGATCATGAATTTTTTTTATAACAAAATTTGTTGATAGCCAATTTAAAGGAATCATGTTCCTAACATCAAGGGGAGAGAAATAAATGTTGAGAAGGCATGAGATAACTTGAGATGCATCTTCCAAGATCCTCAAATAAGTTGATATGAATTGAAATTCCAAAATTCTATACTATCAATTGATGAATGCATATATTGATGAAATGAAAGTAATAAATAATATATTCAAGTTTTGAGTGCTCTTACTTGTATTGATATTTCCATTAAAGAAGTTGCTAAAATATTAGCAAATAAGTATACATTAGAAGCGTATTAGAATGAATGGTTCTAAGGATAAAAACCCAAGAATGAAAAGAAAGCATAAGCAAAATGTTAGTATATTGTTGAAATCATAAAACTATTGAAGAATTTTTGAGGAAATAACCCTAAGAAAGGGTTTAGATACCTAAAAACAATAAGAATGTTGAAATTATATATAATAATGAGATCTCTATAAATTATGGTTCTTTTAAAAAAGGATGGAGCCAAAATGATATTATTGTTAATTAGAAACTCTTGCATATGCAATAGTGATGGACATAGTCAATGAAAATGAGGATTTTGGATCAAATTCATTGAAGATTGTCGACAAAGAAATGATTGGCTAATATGAAAAGAGATGATCCAAGTAGAATAAAAATCACGAAAATTATGTGATTTTTTTTTATCAATATTCTAAATATATAATGAAATAATGTCTATTAAATTTATTTAAGTAAAAAGCCAACAAATTCGTTTCACAAAATTATTGGCTTCTAGAACTTTGAGCAGCTAAGACACTAAATTGGCATAAATTGCCTCATTATGAATATACATTGAATTCAAGGAGGGTATTGTGCCCAGTGTACTCTTTTTCCCTTCGCCAAGGTATTTTTTCCTGTTGGGTTTTTTTTTTTTTTTTTAAAGGTTTTTAATGAGGCAGTTCAACAAGCATATAATAAAATGTGAACATACAAGGGGGAGTATTATAAATCAATTCATTGTGGATTTTTACCTTCTTCATGTTCTTTTCTCCCCATTTTCCATGGTATTTACATACCAAGTAATGGTGTAACTTCCACTACTTCCATGCAATTATAATGGTAATTAACACTCCATAATGCCATGTATTTAAATGGTGATAATGAGATTTCTTGTAACCCCTTTATTAGTAGAACATTAATCCTTGTGACCTCCAATTTAGGTATTTATTCCTTATAACTCCCTTCCTCTATTGGTCTTATATGTGGGGCTTATACTCTTGCAAATGTATAAAAGAGGAAAACATATGAAGATGTACGAAGAAGCAAGGAATCAAAGTATAATATATCTTTGCATTGCTTCACTTTGTCTCTCTAATTTTCTCTTCTTCTAACTAATTCTTTCTTTATTTTACAACAATATAAATATAATACATCACAATTTCAAAACTAATTAGTGTGGATTTACATAGCACTCCCACAATTAAAAGTAATAAATAGGGCTAAATTGCATTTCTCTAAACTCTGGCTTTAGCATGTACAAGACCTTTAATAAATATCCATGCAATCCCAACATTTAGATGTTAGTGCAAATTCGTTTTCAAATTAATACCAATTTGCCAAATCAATATTTTTGGAGGGGATATTAAATTAGAACCGTGAACCATGAGTAGGTTATTACGATCAAAGATTTTATTATTTTGATCACCAGTTTTAATGATAATTTTATTAATGTATAATTTTTTAATTAATTAATTATAATATTTAAAA